TATCTTTAAAAACAATAAAAGCATTATTCCTTTTTTTTTTCTTCTTACGTTAAAGTCTGCTTCTACATAGCTTCATTCTTCTGACTTTAATATTTATGTCTCAGCTGGGCATCATGACTCACACCTGTAACCCAGCACTTTGGGAGACTGAGGCAGGAGTTTGAGACCAGCCTGGACAACACAGCAAGATCCCGTCTGTTTAAAAAAACTACTCGGGCTTGGTGGCACATGCTTGTAGTCCTAGCTGCTTGGGAGGGTTGCTTGAGCCCAGGAGTTTGAGGCTGCAGTAAGCTATGATCACTTCAGTCTGGGCAACAAAGCGAGACCCTGTCTCTTAGAAAAAAAAAAAAGTGTCTGTTAGCCATCTGAAATTGACTTTTGTGTATAATGTGAAGAGTCCAATTTCATTTCTTTTCCAAATAGAGCACTATTTGTTCCAGCACCATTTAATCATTGAAAACTGTTCTTTAGGTGTTGCTTTGCATTGCCAGGCTAGTCTCAAACTCCTGAGCCCAAGTGATCCTCCTGTCTCAGCCTCCCAAATAGCTGGATTTACAGGTGTGCACCACCACACCCAGATCCCTGGGCTCTCTATTCTGTACTACTGGTAGATTTGTCTATTCTTGATCTCCTTCCACACTGCCTTAATTACTATGAAAGTTGACAGTATCAAAATGGAATCACTTGTGTAAAAAACCCCAAAACACCCTGAGAAATACAGCCAGGAAAGCTAAGAAGAGAGCGTTTTCACACTTGCATGCCTGATAACAAAATTACCACAGAAGACTCCAGAAAATCACAACATTAACTATGGTCATTGTAAACTTACACAAAACGTACTTCTATGAGGATATCTGCTCAGCAACTGTCTGTCTAACCTCAGACTGGAGCCACCCTTGTTATTATAGATTATTGTAGGCAAGGATAATAATTTCAAAACAATTATGTAATGCCCCTAAATTTTCCTGTAAAAACCTTTGTCTTCCTTTACCTCCTTGAATACACACATAGTTTACTGTGGCATGTGTATTCCCATTGCAATGCCCTATTCCCAAATAAACATATTTTTCTTTTAGAGAGCCTCTCTCTGTTATTTAGGTTGACATAAATGGTGCCAGAAACAGGACCTGAAAAAAGATCACTATCACAAGGAATTGGCAGTTCTTGAATCTGGTGCCGTACTCATTTAAGCCATTTCAGTTCTCTGCTTCCATGGCTCACTTTTTCTACCCTGATGAGTCTTCTCTAATACCACGCCTCCTTCTTTATGGTAGAAGCTCTTGACTTTATTTGGGGTCTGATTTGAATAAGGCAACCCTAAATAAAGGACTTTACATCCCTCCTGGGATTAAACAAAGACTTTTTGTATTTTCTGGTAAGTCTTTTCTGATTTCTACACAATTTCCATTCTGTCTGTGAGGCATGTCTTTTCTGATGAATTTACTTTTGGTCTGCGTGACTACTTTAATATTTTGTCTGATCCACATGCCTGGGTTAAAATTTTTTTATGAACACTCTTGGTTTTATTTTGGTTACGTACAACTGATTTAGCTCTTTTCCCTTGCTTGTTTCTGAAAATCTTCTGAGAACAAAAATAAACATTCTTTTAGAATGGACACATTCTAAATGATGGACACAGGATGGCTAAATAAAAGCCACTAGAGTGGTTGCTACCATCAAATACATTGGTCCAAACTTCTGACATTCTAACAAGATTGATAATTTTCTTTGCTCTTGAGAGATTGATAAGTAATGTAATGAGGTTTTCCTAATTTCTTTTCTTTTTTTTCTTTCCCTTTTTGTTCTTCTTCTTTTTTTTTTCTTTTCTTTTTTTTTTTTTTTTTTAGAAACAGAGACTTACTCTGTCTCCCTGACTGGAGGTCAGTGATGCAGTCATAGATCATTGCAGCCTTGAACCCCTAGGCTCAAGTAGCTAGGACTAGGGGTGCATGCCACCATGCCCAGCTACTTTTGTTTTGTTTTATTTTGTTTTGTAGAGACGGTGTTTCACTCTGTTGCTCAGGCTTCTCAAACTCCTGGCCTCAAGAGATCCTCCTGCCTTAGCCTCCCAAAGTGTCAAGATTACAAGTGTGAGCCACTGTACTCTGCCTAGGATTTTCAAACATTAAGGCATGCCAAGTTTTCTGGGACTCCAGCTACATTTGATGGCTCATTCTCATGCACACTTAAAAAACTGATGGGTTTATGAAACTGTTACAACAGGTCTCACTTAATCCTCTATGGTAATTTCATTTATTCAGCTGGTTAAGCCTAATTCATGGCTCAAAACTACTAAGCAAACTGAGATTATCATTTTACTTTATATTTTTCCTTTTTTAAAATTTAGCCTGTAATCCCAGCACTTTGGGAGGCCGAGACAGGCGGATCATGAGGTCAGGAGATCGAGACCATCCTGGCTAACACGGTGAAACCCCTTCTCTACTAAAAAATACAAAAAACTAGCCGGGCGAGGTGGCGGGAACCTGTAGTCCCAGCTACTCAGGAGGCTGAGGCAGGAGAATGGCGTAAACCCGGGAGGCGGAGCTTGCAGTGAGCTGAGATCCAGCCACTGCACTCCAGTCTGGGTGACAGAGCGAGACTTCGTCTCCAAAAAAAAAAAAAAAATTTGTATGTTACTTGTTAAATTTTTGCAGAAGTATAGGTCTTAACAAAATAATGCTGGGCCAGCACTTTGAGATGACAGCAAAAGACTATAGACCTTAATAATAAACTCCAGGTAGACTTAGCCTGAGAGTCATTTTCTTCAAACCTCCCTTATTGCCTAAATGTGGCTAAATGGTTTTTGACACTGACTCCTCATCACCAATCACTCCCCACAATGTGGGAAGAAACCAGCAACCAGGCCTCCAGGGACATCAGAATGTAACTACAAAATGACTGATCAGTGATGCATTCTGAGAAAGATCTTGATCGAAAAAGGGAAATGTGAAAATTGTCAGAATCAAACTGGAGTCACTTGTGTGAAAAAACAAAACACCATGACAGAGCTGGGGAAGGCTAAGAAGGGAAGGCTTTCACACGTGTATGCCTGATACTAAACTATTGCAAAAGACTTTGCAAAAACCACAGCCGTACACAAAGACCACTGCAACCTTACACAACAAGTACTTCTGTGTACTTTCTGTACACAACACAACCTTACACAACAAGTACTTCTGTGTATCTTTCCAGCAACTGCCTGTTCAACCTAGAACTGGAGTCACCCTTATTATTGATCTTTGTAGCCAAGCACAATAATTTCAAAGCAATTATTTAATCTTTCTTATTTTTTCTTTGTCTTCCTTTACCTCCCTGAATACACACAGAGTTTACTGTGGCATGTGTATTCCTATTGTAACGCCCTATTCTCAAATGAATGTCTTTTTCTTTTAGAGGTCCTACTATTTAGATTGACAGCTTTAAAATAAAGCTTGTTTTTGTTTTGTTTTGTTTTTGAGGAAGAGTCTTGCTGTTGCCCGAGTGCAGTGGCACAATTATGGCTCACTGCAGCCTCCACCTCCTGGCCTCAAAGTGATCCTCCTGAGTAGCTGGGACTATAGGTGCATGCCACCACAACTGACATTTTTTTTTTTTTTTTTGGTGGGGGTAGAGATGGGATTTTGCCATGTTGCCCAGGCTGGTCTTGAACTCTAGCCTCAAGCAATCCACTTGCCTCAGCCTCCCAAAGTGCTGGGATTATAGGCATGGGCCACCATGCCTACTCTATAATAAAGCTTGTTATCTGGTAGCACAAGTTATCCTCCTCCCACTCCTTCTCTTTTTTTTTTTTTCTTCCTCCTCTTCTTCATGAATGCTTGTCTTTGCTCTTCCATAGCATTTTAAATTAGCTTGTCAAGTTTCTCACACATACACAGAAATTTATTGAGATTTTGTTGGGAATTGCACTGGCTCTGTAGGTAGGTTTGGAGAGACTGGCGTTTTTCAGTATTGACTCTTCCAATCTATGAACATGTTATATCTTTATTTAGGTCTTCTTCAGGGTCTTTCAATGTTTTTTTCAGGCAGGTTTTGCATTTCTTTGATCGATTTATCCCTAGGTACTTGATATTTGTTTGGAGCTGTTGTAAATGGTATCTTTAAAAAAATTATCTTTTTTACTGGCATATATAAATAACTATTAATTTTTTAAAATATGATTTTTGTATCTATTAACCTTGTTAAACTCTTTTATTGTTAACAGTTTATCTGCAGATTGTTTTGAAGTGCCATAAACATAATTTTTTTTGTTTTTTTTGAGACGGAGTTCTGCTCTTGTCGTCTAGGCTGGAGTGTAGTGGTGCGATATCAGCTCACTGCAACCTCCGCCTCCTGGGTTCAAGCAATTCTCCCACCTTAGCCCCCCGAGAGGCTGGAATTACAGGCGTCCGCCACCTCGCCCGGCTAAGTTCGTATCTGTAGTAGAGACGGGGTTTCACCATGTTGGCCAGGCTGGTCTCGAATTCCCGTCCTCAGGTGATCCTCCCATCTTGGCCTCTCAAAGTGCTGGGATTACAGGCATGAGCCAACGGTGCCCGGCCTCCACGTACATAATTATATCATCTATGAAAAAATAATTTTGTTTCTTCCTATTTAATCTTCAATCCTTTCATTTTTCTTGCCTCACTCCACTGGCTAAGGCCTTAGGCTGCAATGATGGGTATTCTCATCTGTAGCACACTTAATCATCATTAAGCTTTCCCAGCCTCAGGTCAACAGTATTGGGAGGTTGGTTTCTCACTGGAGGGTCGGGAATAAGATGCCAGAGCACTTCTTCCAGAGCCTGCAGCGAGTTAAGGCCGAGGGTATGCCTCTGGCCGGCTCATCTTCCAACGCAGAAGAGCCCGCCGCCCCTCTCTGGTTGCCGCGCAACGGCGTCGTTCTGATACAGGGTAGGTGCAGGGCGGCTGGAAGCACGTGTCGCCGCTTCCTCATTCTGAGACTACATCCCCCACAATGCTGCGCGCTGTGGGCTGCTAGCCCCCGAGTGCGGGAAGGGCCGGCCGGGAGGCGGAGCGGAAGCCGAGTGCGAGGGACAAGCGGAGTAAAATCTCCACAAGCTGGGAACAAACCTCGTTCCGACTCCCACCCCCCGGCCTTTCTCCAGCCCGATCTGGAGGCTGCTTCGCCAGTGCGGGACGCAGCTGACGCCCGCTTATCAGCTCTCGCTGCGTCGCCCCGGCTCAGAAGCTCCGTGACGGCGGCGACCGTGACGGGAAGCCCGCGGCAAGGTAGTGAGTAGGGGGCGAGTCCGCCAGCCGGGCCCGCACCTCTAGCGCAGCCCCTCCGCCTCGGCGGCCGCTCCTCCCCCGCCGCGCCCCCGTCCCCGGTCCCCGCCCAGCTAGGGCCGCTGCCGCGGAAACCCGGCTTAGGAACGGGCCGGCAGCCTCCGGCCGCGGCCGGGAAGGCTCTTTGTCCCTTTCTTTGGGCCGTGCCTCTGCCCCTCCGCGTCTGACAGCCGCGGTCCCTTGGCCCGAACGGGGAACCGAGCGTGGCTGGGGCTGCGCGAGTCGAGCGGGGCGGGCTCGGTCCGGAGCTGTGGGATGGAGAGTCCGGGCGGCACCGCACTCACTTCTTTTTCTGTTTTTGACAGCTCAGTTCTCTTCTACTTTGGGAGAGAGAGAAAGTCAGATGCCCCTTTTAAACTCCCTCTTCAAAACTCATCTCCTGGGTGACTGGTAAGGATGAACTTAAACTGCCGTGTTGATTGTTGACTGTGGCGGTAATGAGAATGGCTCAGCCAGCGAGCGTTCGAATCCTTCCTGGGTTTCTCTCACTGCCTGCCTTGGTGATCTTGGTTACTTAAAGGCTCTAAGCCTGAGTTTTCTCATCCATCAAAACACACACCTTTACGTTGTTAGAATTAAGAATATAGACCTATAACGTCATTAGTACTTCATTTGATGAAAAGATCCTTTGTGATACTTTATTAGCTATGACTGAAGTGACCGAAGTGGCCTCTGGACTTGAGTTTTGTGCTTTTCTTTTCTTTCTTTCTTTTTTTTTTTTTCTGAGATGGAGGCTCGCTCTGCAAGAGCTCACTGCAAGCTCCGCCTCCCGGGTTCACGCCATTCTCCTGCCTCAGCCTCCCGAGAAGCTGGGACTACAGGCGCCCACCACCACTCCCGGCTAATTTTTTTGTATGTTTAGTAGAGACGGGGTTTCACCGTGTTCACTAAGATGGTCTCGATCTGCTGACCTCGTGATCTGCCCGCCTAACGGCGGCCTCCCAAAGTGCTGGGATTACAGGCGTGAGCCACCGCGTCCGGCGCTTCTCTTTTTTTAGTCATTAATACCTGGGTTTTGTGTTCTTCACTTTATCTTAAACCTAACGAAAGGCTTCGTTAACATATGCCGTCTTCCTAATTTCTGCTGTTTTGAGATGGCTGAGACTGTTCTTAGGAAATTGATGACTCTGCTTTTCTGTGGGTCAGCTTTAGAGATGCAAGTATTTATTCACCTCTCCCCTCCCCGTCAGTTGTGTCCTTTGGGGATCTTTAGAGGCGCTTAAGTGTTTGTTTCAAGTCAGTGTAGGCATCCAGGTATTCTACAGTCCTGCCTCTGGGCTTCACCATGTTTACCCTGGGTCAACTTTTTTCTACTTCTGTCTGCATCTTCTCACTGATTAATAATTTCCCCAGTTTGGGATTTGTGTTTTTTTACAAGTTGTAGTTTTTGTTCACAAGACACCCTGAGTGAATGCAATAAATTCCGTCAGGAATGACTTGATAATTTCACATTAGTCCCTTTTCAGTTTCAGTTCTTGCACTATTTTCTCCTGAATTTTACTGACGTTGGTTATGAATTTTTCTTCAAGGAAATCTCTGTGATCCTTAGTTGAAGTTTATTTTTCACTTAAAATGTCTGCTCTGTACTTCTTTGAGTTCAAACACTATTACACAATATGTGCAATAACAATCCTGAGTAAATGCTGTTTTAAAACACGCAGTTGTAGGGGGAAAAAGCCAGTGGGCCTGATGAATTGCTGGTGTTATTTCTTTAGTGACAGATTAATTTTTAAAATATATATGAGGAAGAAAAGGAGAAATCTAATGATGTATTTTATAAGCATAACAGAGAGCCAAAGAATAAATAAGTGGAAAACTTACTTAAACGGTGGAAAACTTACTTAAACTGTGGAAAAAGGCATATGCACATAAAATTTCTGACTCACTCTAAAACGTGTTGCGAAAATACTTGTTTTGAGGAAAATGTTTCTATGTTGGTGTTATTTAGTGCAGTGTAGGACAGACAGTAATGGCTATGGAAATAGGAGTCCTTAGTGTTGTCCTTGCACTGTCACTATCTGTGAAACCTTAGATTACTTTGTGGTCCTCAATTTCCTCATCTCTAAAATAGTGAATTCGTCTGATTCCAAGGACTTTTCTAGCTCAGACTTTCAATGGTAAAGATTTTTAGAGGTTTTTTAAAATGCATAAACAAAATTGGTGTAAACCCTTTTAGTCATTTGTGTTCTTAGTGTTTCTTCCTGCTTCAGGTGATATAATTCTTTCAAACTACCTTGAAGGAGGGAATACATATGAGACAACAAGAAAGCTGCCAGAAATCAGAATCTCTACTGGCCAGTTATCACTCTGTCATGAGCTGCACAGTTTCTCTGCATTTTTGACATGCTTTGTTCTCTTTCTCCCTACTCTGTATCTTTTGCTCATAGCCTCTATACCTATTGTGCCTGATTCTTCATGACTTTACCTGTCAATCCCCTCACCCAACTTTATTATTTTCATGACTTCTCCTTCAGCTCCTTCTGCCAACTGCCTGGTTTTCCCTGGGGCCTCTTTGTTTGAGGCCAGAGATTCTAGCCTAGTTGGCTGTGGAACGGGAGGTGGGGTCATGTGGCACAAAACATGATTGGCCAAGGCTGTGACAGGTCAAGCTCTGTGATTAAAGTATCTGGTGCTGCATAGTGTGTGTCTATGTATATGTATATATATAGGGTTTTTTTTTTTTTTTTTTTTTGAGACAGAGTCTTACTCTGTCACCCAGGCTGGAGTGCAGTGGTGCTGGCTCACTGCAACCTCTGCTTGTTGGGTTCAAGCAATTCTTGTACCTCGTGCCCAGCTAATCTTTGTAGTTTTAGTAGAGACAGGGTCTTACCATGTTGGTCAGGCTGGTCTTGAACTTCTGACCTCAAGTGATCTGCCTGTGTTGGCTTCCCAAATGGTGGGATTACAGGTGTGAGCCATGGAGCCCAGCCTGCATAGTTTATTTTATTGTACATTTTAGTTTAGTTAGTTTGGTTTGAGACAGCCTTGCTCTGTCACCCAGCTTGGAGTGCAGTGGTGCGATCTTGGCACACTGCAACTTCCACCTCCCGGGTTCAAGTGATTCTTGTGCCTCAGCCACCCAAGTAACTGAGTTTACAGGCATGCAACACCATGCCTGTCTAATTTTTGTATTTTTAGTAGTGATGGGATTTCACCATGTTGACCAGGCTGGTCTTGAACGCCTGACCTCAAGTGATCTGCCCTCCTCAGCCTCCCAAGGTGCTGAGATGACAGGCATGAGCTACTATGCCAGGCCATATTTTAGATTCAACTGTTACTGTAGCATAATGCTTAGTTTTCTTTTTGCCTTAACATTTTCTGTTTTTATCCCTGCCTCACTGTACCATTTTTCTTTTATCTGTTTTTGTAATATTCAGTGCTGTTGTCTTCTCTTTCGTCTCCCAAATGTGCCATCTAAAAATGATCTGATGTCTTGACACTCATTTCCGTATCTTAGCTGGAATTTTAGTGTAGCTTCTCTCAAGGCAGTGCATTTTAAATCTTAGACCTTATTATGGAGTGAATGGGGCTGTGTTCTGTGTTAATCTGCCCCCCCAACAATATTAACCTCAGGGAGTATTACATAGAGAAAATATTTTAGGAATGCTCCTTTTCCCCTGAAATTACATTCCGGGGTCAAGTCTGTGGAGGACTTTTTTTTGGTTTATTTTGGAGAGAACTATTTGAACCTCTGAGCTGTGGTGAACATACTGTGTCTTTTTGTAGTAAATCTATGCCTCTTTAGCTGAAATTCCTTTGGAGACTAATAGGCAGTAGTTCTTCTAGTACCTTTGGTTGAGTGAAAGCTTCTCTACCTGCTAGTTGTTGCTATTGCTGTTGAAAGTTACTTTAGCTATAGTTATAATGGCACAAAATGTAGAACACTGAATAGATGCAAAAATGAGATTTGAATGAGAGATTATAAGGTAGGATTAGCCATCTATTTGTCTTTTTAATGTTGCTGTTGCTATGTTTGCTTAAAATAAAAGGAAGTACTTCATGACAGATGACAGGGAGTGTGAACTGCAGTATTTTTTTTAACTTTTTTGTTATAATCCATAGTAAGAGATCTTTTTGTATCAAGACTCCATAGATGGCTGGGTATGGTGGTGTGCGCCTGTAGTCAGTCCTAGCTACTAGGGAGGTTGAGGTGGGAGAATCACGTGGGCCCAGGAGTTTGAGTCTGGCCTGGGCGACATAGGTAGATCTCGTCTCAATAATTAAAAAAAAAAAGATTCCATGCGTGTATAACTGTGTCTACATAGGCTGGACTCAGTGGCTCATGCCTGTAATCCCAGCACTTTGGGAAGGTGAGGCAGGAAGATCGCCTGAGCTCAGGAGTTTGAGACCAGCCTGGGCAACATAGTGAGACCTTGTCTCTGCTAAAAATAAAGTTTGACAAACGTGGTGGCACACACCTGTAGTCCCAGCTGCTTAGGAGGCTGAGGCAAGGGTGGAGGACCTCTTGAGTCTGGGAGATCAGGGCTCAGTGAGCTATGGCCACTGCATTCTAGAGCCTGGGCAACAGAGCCAAACCCTATCTCAAACAGCAACAACTGTGTATGCATGCATGTGTCTGTATATGTAAAAATAAACTGGAAATTTCACAAAACAAAATTGGTGTGTACAGTCTACTCTGATGGTTTCTATTTTATCTCGTGTTTTGAAAAAGTGCTTGTTGCAAACTGTTGATTTTGTTCCCTGCTTTTGAAAAACGGTGGAGTCCCGGGCTGAGAGTTTGGATGCCTGATGTTTCTCTGTATGGTTGACTTTGAGTAGTCATTAATTCTCTTTGTGCTTCATTTTTCTTATCTTTATAATGAAGGTGTTCTAGTTTAAATATTTGCTGATTCTTTGTTTGATTTAATTAATTAATTAAATTTTGAGATAGAGTCTCACTCTGTCACCCATAGCTCATTGAAACCTGGTACTCCTGGGCTTGAGTGGTCCTCCTGCCTCACTCTCCAGAGTAGCCGGAACTACAGGTGCGCACCACCATGCCCGGCTAATTTTTAATTTTTTTTTTTTTATAGTGACTGCGTCTTGCAGTGTTGCCCAGGATGGTCTTCTTGTACTTCTGACTTCAAGAAGTCCTCCTACCTCAACCTTGTAAAGTGCTGGAATTACAAGTGTGAACCACCATGCCCAGCCTGTTTTACATTTCTCTGGAAATAATGTTGGACTAAAGACAAGTATATGTCTTTATGTCTCTGGCCAGGGAGAAACCACTGAAAAGTGGCTTAAATGTTTGGCTGTTTACATAGTGTGCTGTTTGGCAAGTGGCATAATAGAGCTTTGAACAGCACTTTTCTCTAAAGATCTTATAAAGTGGAGTAGACATGTTAATGCCTGTAATAAATATAAAAATTTAGAAAAAAAATTTATCCATG